CGGGGACAAGTTGTCCAAAAGCTAAGACCCAGGGGAATCCCAGGCTGGCTGGCTAAGGACTTTTGGTCATTAAAGCCATGTAGATGGAGCTGGACACGTGACGCCATAATGCAAATGTCTGCAAGTCTGGCCAGCAACATTTACGGCCACTTTAGCTTCGCTTCTTCGATCCCACTCAACTCACTCCCCTTTTTTACCAGGAAACTCCCTCTATTTTTTCGTGTTGCCCCCTTTGGGGATATATACCAAACATACACACACCCAAAAACACACTGAAAAGCCCTGGAAAATGATGCACTGGGGAAAAACGGGTTCCTTCGACCAAAACAGCCTGAGGGATGGAATGGAGAGACAGGTAAAAATTACGGTCTCCCCGGCGTTTGTTATTATTTAGTGAGCAAACACAATTGTTGAAATTTACTCGTGACATAATAATTTTAGAGCTCCAAAAAGGAAAAGGACAATTTTAAATGAATTAGAGAACGCGCTTGTTTCACTCCTCTCCTCTGAAGAATTTTCATGGTTTCCATTTCATTTTATTACCACGATTTTCCTTCTATTTATTTTTTATGTTGCGCATACTCTTCCCGTGTCTCCCTTTTCCTTTCAGCAATTAACTTGGCTTTCGCCAACATGTTTTTTGCGTTTATTATCCTGTTCCTTCCAGGCTTTCTCCCAACTCATGTGAGTTTGTTTGTGTTTCTGAACCATCCCAGCTTTAAGTTCCAAAGCCTCGCACGCTGGTGTGTTAATTAGCCTGGCGCTGAATTTTGTTTATTAATTATGTAATTCATTTTTCCGCTTAATTATATTGAGAGCGAGACAGGCAGGGCCTCAGAAATCCAAATGTATCTACACATAAAATTCCTGTAATTGGACTGTAATTAAGTGAACTGCCTGACGTTCGTGAAGAGTTGGAGGGGGAAAAGGAAAAAAAGGAAGAAAAGGAAGTATTCCCGCCAGGTTTCTTTTGGCTAAATGAATTTGTGTATATGTATTAAGTACATACACAAAAATAACAACCAAATGACCAAGGAGTAAAGTCCTGCGGGGGTGTAGAAACATTTTCTTGGATTTTAATGAGGACTGGGCAGAAGTGAGCTTACGGTTTAGGTTTAATTTCAATGGATATTGAAGGAATTCGTATTAAGAGATAAAGGGAAGTCTTTAAATACTTAATGTGAAAAAGAAACCTATTTATTAAATCCTTGTAGATCTCTTTTTTATAAAACATATGTTAAACCCTGATAACTTGATCGAAATATAAAATATTTTCTACACTTTCCCCCTCTCAATCTCTGATAGGAAAACATCAGCGAACAATTACGATTGTTTTCACTTCCCCTAAAGACTATATATAAATATATATATATATATATATATTTGTTGCAACCTATTTAAAACCACCATTGTTAAGCGCCTGCAAAAATCCTCTAGGTACACATACAACCTGAACTCTGGGCGGTTTCCGATGGATTCGACACACATCCTAGCCAAAGTACGTTGCCCCAGGGTTGGTGGTAATGGTGGCGGAAAAACAATGGAATTTTGCCATATTAAACGGAACAAATGCAGTGCAATCATCTGACACAGGACCTGGGAGTCCACGGGGAGAAACGAGGGATGAGGGCTGCTTTTTTTGGGTGGGGTGGTGGCCAAAGTACCACCCCTGGTGGTGGGTACAACACGAAACATGTTGCAAAAAAATATTACAGAAATGTGTGTTGCACTTTGGATGGTGTCATAAATCTCAAAGGAGCGAAAGGAGAGAGAAAAGTATAAACAACAATGAGGAATGTCGAGGTGCAGAAAGCAGGCCAAGGATACAGGCGACAGGATACTTGGCAAACTGCATAATAAACACACACACACATCAGAAATTAATGATTTACGAAGGAGGACAACAAGTTGGGAAAGTACGCTGCCACCACCCATCGGGCATTTCCCCGATTACCTGTCCCAAACAGGTAGAGATGAACCCTCCGTTTTGGGTGTGAAAAATGGCACAAACACACAGGAAGAATGAAAGGACATTCCTGCAAATGAGTCTTGGAGATGCACAGAAAGAAATGATGATGGATTTCAATTACAATTTAACCGTCTGCAAACTTTGTTTATACTTTTAACATACAAGTTTTTGTTATTTAACCCAACAAATACATATATTTTTCCAGAGTGACTGACTCGTTGGATGACTACCACCAGTCGCTTATCTACTCAACTCTTTTTTGGGGGAAAGGTGACGGTGCCGGCGTCACTCCGGATTTCGAACGTGTGTCATCGTCATCCATGCGGGATCTGAGCGGGGAAATGGGAGGAGCTCGGGCCTCACCTGGCTTGTGCCATTATGCGGTGCTGGTAAGCAGCTGCCCCGAATCATCTGCCCCTGGGACAAGGGGACAAGGATTCCTTTTGGCATTGTTCGCCATGAGTTTTGACTCTGCGAGCCTGCAGGCGAAGGTTGGCTAAACAATGGAAATTGAAAATCAGTTGCAGGCCAAACGAAAAGATGCGTTAGGATAAGCATAGGCATAGGCAGGGGCAGGAAATGGCAAATCTGTTGAATCTCGGGAAATTCTACGCCAAGGTGGGGAGACACAGACAGCTGGCCAAAAAATAACGTTCCCAAATGAGCCTCATTTTCGGTCAATGATAAAACCGATAAGGGTCTCTCTCTCTCTCTGGAATGCGTAATTTGATGGGGAAACATTCAACCCAAATAGATACAAGAAAATTGGGCCAAAAATATCTAAACAGATATGGTTATCAAAGCGGCTTGGTCTTCTATCAAGTCCTATGAAAATTCAGTGATGAAATATACAAATTATAACATATATATTTGGGCTTAAAGAGTAGGCCTTCTTAAGCTCTACCTAAAATATCAGGTTTAATTTTGAAGAAAATGTATTCTATCAACAGCTTATAGTTTTCTTCAACTCTAACCTATTTTCGTTGAAAAAATCTAATCCTTGTCCACTCTCAGACTTTATGTACTGTCACTTTCTTCTGTTTCGAAATAAAACCCAAACAAACTGTGAAATATTTTTGTGCATTCATTTCTCTAAAACAAAAAATGCCATCTATTCCAGTGCTGACTTTCTTTCTTCCTTGTTTTTTTGTTGGGCAATATCCTTCTTGACCTGACTCGACGACAGTTGATTCCTTTCGGGGTTTCCTTTCTTTGTTTCGGCAGCCGCTGCAATTTGTCACTTTTCGCACTTTCTGTCCGTCGAGAGTCCTTTGTTATTGTCCTCGTCCTGACTAGATGACAGGATGTGCAGGCACTTGAAACATTTGGCATATTAAAATTGTTGGACAGTGATTCGGTGGAGGACGACAGTTGTGGAATTCATGAGTTCAGCAGGTGAGAGAGACGCAGAATTTCAGCGATATTAAATTCCCAAAAGGTTGGGGGGTGTAAAAGGTATCTGAAAACTTATCGCTGAATTAGCGTGCCAAGGATAGAAGATTGTGGCAGTTGGAAGGCTCTTCCACGTCAGAACAAAGAGATAAGTTGGACTTAAATTGTGTTCGAAATTTGTTTGAATGAAATAGTTTGCATAGCTGAAGAGAAGAGAGATGGAAGGTTGACTTACAAATACTCTTAAGGTGTAAGACAAGGTTATAAAATTTTCTGAATAATAACACAAAGTCATAGTTATCATATCCAGCAATATACCCTGAAATAATAGCTCTTCTCTTTCCAAAATACTAGCTTCTCTAATTCCTCTATATCTCCCCTATTCCTTTCCAATCCTATATCCCCAAAAATACTACATAGCTCCCAAATACACAATGTTGCATGAAAAATGTTTGGGGCCAGCAGACAAGCCATAAATTTTGCACCAAATAAAAAAATAAAGGACGACAGACGAAAGGCAAAAAGGAGAGAAAACACGAAATATAAACAAGCTGAAAATGGGAGGAAGCGAGTCAGGATGTGGCCAGGATATGCGGTGGCTTCGCAAGTAAATACATATTTATTTCCCGAGGACCTTACTTTTCGCCCCGTAATTAGTTTGTCTTGAAACCGTATTTTTCTTCATTTCGAGAGGCTTCTCTGCTGTCATGTTTTTGCATAAACGGAAGTCGGACTTTGGTGTTGGAAAATCACAAACTTTTCCTTTTTCAAAACTAACAAGAAGTTTGCTTGCCTTTTTCTTAATTAGTGCATTCACATAAAAAATTATTTTACGGCAGCGTGATGCAGATTTATCACTATTATTAATGTAGTTTTATTTAGAAAAAGTCATATTTATTCATCAATTTCAATTATTTCTTCGAAATGACATTTGAAAATGGCACAGACATGTGACATGCGGCGAATAAAATACGAAATTGATTAAAAGTTTTCATGCATTCTGAGTTTTGCTTAATTTTTGCAGATATTTTTTGACATTTAAAAAAAATATCCGTGAGAAATATTGCCACACAATAAAAACAATAGTATTTTCATATTTTGATGGGTTTTTTAAGCAGGATACGAATTATTCAGTCTAAAGCATGGAACGTAGTGAAGAAGTTATTTCAGACCCTATAAATCATATATATTCTTGATCAGCATCAAAAGCTGAATCGATCTGCCTATGTCCGACAAAAATTTAATTTTTTCAAATTTTTCATAATTTTATAAGGGGTTACATCGTTAAAATTATACAAAAATTGACAAAAATTTTAATTTCTTTAAATTTTAAATCCGGTTATGTAGATTTAATAACCTAATAAAAACTAGCTTAGAACAGCTTGCCGAATTAAATTTAATGCTTTTTTGGCTTAGTTATGAAGGATTTTCTCTGAAAGGGTATAGAAATTTAGGTTTCCCGGAGCTAGCTTCCTTTCTTGTTGTATTTATTTTAATATATACTTTCCAAGTTGATTAAAGTTAATCGGTAATTAGTTAAGGGGCAATTTTGTAAAATTTTACTACCTAATTTAACCATAAATAATATTTTTAAATTATTAAAGCCAAAGATAATAAACAGTTCCTCTTGGTCACTCACCTTTTGAGCCTTGCAGGTGACATTGATAGACTGGACGTCGTGGGCCTGGTGACGCTGCTCCCCGATGCACAGGCCGCAGGCGGGTGCCTTGCAGCTGAGGCAGTACTGCGACAGCGTCTCCTCGTGCTCCCCGCAGACGGACTCCCGCTGCTGGGCAGCTCCTCGCGGCTTCACCAGCGTGTGCTTGGCCAGCGGCCCGCGGGCGGGATGGCAGAGCTCCCGGCAGGCGTCGCAGTAGCGAATCTCGCACTGCTCGCAGATCAGGGAGGCGACCTTGGGGTCCGTCTCGCACATCTGGCAGCGCAGGGCCTCGCGGGCACAGAATCGATCCACAATGGCCTCCATGGCCCGGTAGGTGGGCAGGTTCCGCACTCCCCCGTCGTCGAAGAACACTAGCTTCCGGCACAGCGGACAGGTGAGACAGTAGGCGGCGCCGGGCGGAGCCACCACGTTGCCCACATTGCCGTTGGGCAAGAGTCCAGTGCCGGCATAGGACACCGGGCGGGATGTGTTGGAGCAGCAGACCACACCGGAGTCCGCCTCACTGAAGATGCTCACCTTGTCGGACTGATCCTGGTCGGAGGTGACGCTCTCGCTGCCCGTATTGGAGCTGGCCGTGCTGGCCGCCGAGCTGTGGGAGCTGTGTCGCGTGCCAGGCGGAGCACCGGAAGTGCCACCGGCGGAAGTAGCCGGTCCCCCGGCCACAGATCCGCCTCCGTTTCCGTTGTGCAGGCCATTGTGTCCGCCTGCAGTAGAGGCGCCACCAGCCGTCCCATTGGAGGTCACCGGGAGACCCGATCCCGGACTGTAGGGTGTCTGAATGTCCAGGGCACAGCCCAGGCAGAGGGCGTGGAAGCAGGGCAGGAGCACGGGATTGGCGTACAGCTGCTTGCACGTGGGACAGCGAAGTTCGTCCTCCATTTCGGTTGTTTTGAATCCCTCCAAGGAGTGCGATTGGAAGCGACAATTGGCGAGGTCTTTATCCTTGGTAACTCGGACTTGGCCGGTTGGTCTTAGTTTGGTGGAAGAACTCCTTGGGCCAACATGGTTTTCAATATTTTTGATGAGTTTTTTTAAAACGTTTTCCAAGCACTGTTCGAATATTTGTTATTAATATTATTTTTCACGTTTTCTTCACTCTGATTCTAATTGTTTTTAAATCTTTAGTTATTCTCACATTTAAAAATTATTTTTAATTTTGTTTTTTAATGTTTTCACTTCACTTTTTGGAAAATATTTAAATCTTGGTCACTTTCCTTTCTTAGTACTCTATATGTTTGGAATTTTTCACTATTAACCAATCACTTTTGGCCAATTTTGTGGGTGTTTTCTTATTTAATTCTCTTCTAATTTGCTTAAAAATTGCACTGCCTCGGCTTTGGCTTATCTACCATTTGTACGATTTAACGGTAAAACGCGACGAAACACTTCTCACGACGAACTTAAACCTTCCGCGACACGACCGACTTGAACGAAAATTTTTTCCGAATGAATGTTGTGAACGCGCTCGCTTCTCAAAGTCCCTCAGCGAAGGTGGAACATCGAACATCGAACTTCGAACATGACTATGCACTGAAAAAAAAAAAACAGCTAAATTAGTGTTAATAAAAGCTACAAAGTGTGAAAAATAGCCTGCATTTATAAATTTAGGGTCAATATAACAAAGATGTGTACAGATACAATAATAACACTCTTTTGATAAAAGATTATGTGGGAAAATGGCCACCACCAACTGTTCGCTGTGGTAACAAATGCTTCTAAACATGTTGCGTCAAACCTTTGTAAAAAGTCGAGGTTCGGCTTCAAACCTGTTTCGCAGTTTGACAGTCACTGCTCTTTAATAAAATATTAATTAATTAAATATTTCCGATTAAAGAAATATTTAGAATAAATATAAATAAACATAAATATGAGACGACTGTATATAAAAAGTGTATGTTACTAAAATTTCCATAAAAAGTCATAAATAATATACAAAAATAAAATATTAATAATTTTATTACTACTAAAACATTGTTTTTAGTTAAATATTAAATACCTTCCTAAATGTTATTAGAACTCCATGATATTTGCATTACTAATTAGTATATAAGAGCCTCTCGATAAAGGCAACAGACATTTAAAATATTATTTTTGATTCCATTAAGTCGTCACCGAATTAAAATTATTTGACAAATATTAATATTTACAATGGCTACCGTTTGCTTATTTGTTTAATGAATAAATATCTCAGCTAAACACTGGTCGTTGCCCTTACACTTTTTGGAGATTGTAAAGTAAAGCTTTAAGCTTTACACCTGTTGTGCACGTGGCCGGAAAATTAAGGGAATATGTTCACTTTTACATATTAAAAAAAAAACACAAAGCCCTGCACTAACTGCACATTATCGTGCTTATCAGTGACTAGATCTGCTGATAAGAGTTAGAAGAGTTAAGTTTCCTATCTGACAGCAGAGGTGGTAATAAATGAACAAATTCTAATAATAAACAAAACTATAATTAGTTATAAATACTACAAATTTCGGAATATTTAACTTTATCTTAAATTTTTAACCTCCAACATTTCGCTTGCTAAATTAAACCCCAGAATTTATTTTTCCTCAAGGAAACCCCATAAAATGTTGGGAATTTAGGCAACTATTTACATTTATCAGAGGAGCAGCCAGGTGTGGCGACCATTCCTCAACTTCACTTTCCACTTGCAGGCCTATTATTTTGAGCCCAACTGTGGCTGCAGCTCAGGTGAGACAGTCGGGGGCGAACAGGTAATGGCGGTGCCACCACTGATAAGCCACGGCCAGCGACCCATTCGCGACATTCCTATACTATACTATATATATGCAGCTATATCTCATTCCTCATTCCGCTGCAAAGGTGTCAGCGGTATCCACGATTCTACGATCAACAAATATTATTGAACCGAGCTGGCTATTTGTTCTGACTGATTCTAAAACCTGGTCTCGAGAATGTTTTCCAGTTTGTTTTGACACCGAAGCGTCCAATCGAGCGGGGAATTGAGACTTTGTAGGGTAGGGAAAAGGGGGAGAGTGCACACGGTAACTGACATTCGATATCGAAAAGGCAAATACAAATAGGTGACCTGCTCTAGATGTTTATCTACACAGAGAGAAATTAATAGAGACTAAAAACGAAGTAAGCAAACTTTTAAAGACTTTTTCTAGACTTCCTAGGGTCCCCATCAGTACCACTTTAGATATTTTTTAAAAAATACCACATAATATCGAAAAATACCAAAGTAAAATGATAATAAATACATGTATTATTTTTTTCTGTATTTTATAGAAGAAATTGAGTAAAAGAGAGCGCAACAACAGCAAGCGTGTGTCGTGCGTGGAAAGAGTACAACTCCCACTTCCCTTACTCTCTATTCCATTTCTCTTTCCACTGGAATGTGTAATCCATGTGACTTAATAAGCCACGTTCCTGTTCAAGTATTTGATCTGGATTTGGAATCGGGAGGTGTTAAGTGGCTCCCCTCCCCTGGCAGACCCTCCTCCCTCTCTCACTTTCCTATGCAAATATTGACTGACAAACGACGCATTCGTATGCTTAATTTGCCTCAATTTATTGTTGTTTGTTTTACTTTTTCCACGCACAAGTTTGGTATTCTTTTTTTCGTTTTTCGAGCTCCCTAATAAATCACAAAATTGGACAGCAAGTGTCTAAGGTCGGATCACAGGGCGCCTAATTGCTGGAGTATTGATTTTTAGTATTTTTCCCGCCCCAAGTGTGAACTTTCGGGAAGGAGTTGGCGCCAAAGAAAGGAAAAAATATACATGAAACTGTAACCTTAACCGGGGATTGATGGCCCAAGCCTAATTATCGTCTCAATCTGGAAATGAATAAGCGTGGGTTTTATGTCTTATAAATAAATCATATTGGGATATAGATATTTGTAAATCATAATCATAATTTCATCACCCTTAAAATATCTATAAGTAGTATTTTACTTTAAATTCCCCTCAAGTTTATTATTCTCGTAAAAATTTAACAACTCCAAAACCTAAACATAAACCGTTGCTTATTTTGAACTCTGCACAATTTGAAAATTGACTTTCCAGAGAGATAGAGTGAGTTTCCGAGGTATTGGCTAGCAACGCCTATAATTCACTGTAGCTTAAAATATTTAAAAACTTTTATCACGTCCACATCCGCAGCGAAAACCACTTTCGCACCCCAAAAAAGAGTCCTCGCCTCATCCTCGCTAGCTTTTCTGGTCCACTTTAATGCCGTATATCATGTGGTGTAACCATGGCCAAGGACATTCGCCATATGCGAGCATGCATAAAAACGCAATAATAACAGTGCTCACACTCCCTCCCAGAGTCCTGGTCCCAAAATAGCAGGAATACTTTGGTCACCGCGGGTGCGAAGCATTTTTTCCACTTTTCCCAGTTTTTTTTTTTTTTTTGTTATGTGGAAAAGCTGGTCGCCGGGAAAACAGGAGGAGCGACAAGAGAAGCAGCAAATTTTTTGACTGGCGGCGTTTTAGCCTGGCTTTTGCCGTTCCACCTACCCGCCAAAAACTGCTCCTTGTCCTATCCTTTTTCCTACTCTTTTTCCTACTCTTTTCCCTCTTCTTCCACCTTCTCTTTAACCCCTTCTTTTTAAGCCCCTGTTCTACTCCCTTTTCCACTCTTTCATGCGTTTTGTCGAGCGCCAAAGGAGAGACAGCGGTTGCAGCGGCCACAGGAGCGGGCAGGATTCGCCATCCGCCGTCATTGTCGGGTTAACAAACACACCCACACACACCCACCGGCACCCACAGCCACCCAACGCCACCCACACGTACGCGGAAAGGAAGGCCAACAGCAAAAAATACTTTGACTATAATAACCATAACCGAAGGGAAATCAGAACAGGACTCTCTGAATGCCCTGTAAAAGTTTGTGATAGGGTAAGGATGGGTTTTAGAAAACCATAAGGTATAGAAATATATTATTAATAAATTTGTTGTTTCTTAAATAAAATCATTTATTATTAGTTAATAAACTTCACAAGTAAACTTATATCAAAGCCTTATAACCATTATATATACCTTGCAAGATGAACTAATTTAATTACAATTTTATGAAAATTTCGAATTATACAAATATTTAAAGCCATCTCAGATTTAATTAAAAGTATCTCCATTAACTTCAAAGACAAACAAAGTTTAAAAATCATTTCAACAATTCAAATACTGGCAGGGTATCATAACCGGGGATTCTTTTATGAAACTTTTTTGGCCAACAATATGTAAAAAGTTTAACCAAAAAAAAACACAGAATGAAGTTGCCATTGAACGGGAGGAGCTAGCTTCGCTTCTCTCCTAGCCTTGCCCAGTTGTTGCTCCATGGAGTCCTTGTGGCTTCTGGCTCCTGGCTGGTCCGCTCCGCTCACTCGTTCAGGATAACATCACCAAATGAGATTAGGAAGGACATTCGCGTATTTAACACAGACGGACGCTGTAACTGCTACCCCGGTGAGGGAGTTGGGTGGGGCACCGAGGGTAACTGGTTACCAGTAGGATATCCTGGCTGCCTGTTCGCAGGGCTGTCCTTTCTTTCTATGTTTTTTTGGGGAAAAATGTTCAACAGGGGAATTTGGGGGAAAGTCTGCTGCCGGCTGCTAATATTGTGTACCACGCTTAGCGCCTCTCTGTTGTCATTGCAGGAAGCTGCAACAGTTTGAGGCATTGTAATTGCTTTTTTGTTTGTCCCTGGGAGGCTAGCACAGGATATAGTGGGGGCTCCCATGACCATCTCGAATTGCAGCAAATTTTTAATTAGATTTTTTGATTTTTTTTTGTTCTTTTTTCTGGGTACTTTTTGCCGCCCCGAGGTTGTGTTTTCAGTGTTTTAGCAAATGACACTCGCCTTAAATTGGGTTTTTCTTTGGGAGGAGGAGTACCAATTTTCGTTGGGCTTTCCCTGACTGGGGAAGGGATCCTTGGACATGTTGGTTAACGAGTTAAAGCGAAGATAAAGCGCAAATTATGAGGCATGACAAATCGTTTGGAGTTCATTAATTGGGTCTTTAAATGGTTACAAATTCAGGCATTACAAAAAGGTAAGAGGAAATTATTAAAGCCTTCAATAAGGTCTTGCAAAAAAGGTAGCCAGAAGATTTTGAATCTTCTTTCTTCTTTGAAGGGTTTGTTTTCCATCTACAATTAAATTAATTAAAAGGAAATTTCTCTTAGCCAAAGAGCTAAGCTTATCCTTTGGCTGAAATGCCTGGAAAAAACCCCCAACCGCAATATAAAGCCAAAAAAGCAGCTGCTCAAAGTTCCAGAACGAAACCTCAGAATAAACAAAAGGGAGAACATATTATTAAATACTCTCAGTGAGTATTCTATTGCGGGGGAAATCTAAAGAGGAAAGTTTGGGGAAATCTCACATGAAAACTCCATTGCAATTATGAAATTTTAGACATTTTGATGTACTGCAGCATGTACAGCTCTGCAACCCTCTTTGCAAGTTCGGCCTTTGTTGATGGCCACAAAAGTTGTTGGGCTAGAAAAACATGAGACGAGTGTCTATGATATGGGAATACTCATGGAAAACTCATGGAAAACACAGGACAATGGGCAGTATTTTTGGGGGTGCATCCTGAGGCTGAGCGTGGTATTCAAATTGCGCTTTTGATTGCGAAATCAGATACTTTATTTTTTGGGGAGAGAACGAAAGATAGTTGTGACTGGCAAGCGTTAATTAAATCTTGATGATTTGCTTGGGGGTAAGCTAAAGCTGGAATTTCTCAGAAATATGGAAGTTACTCATAATAATCCAAACTCTTTAAATCCATAACTTGTAAAAGTTCTTTCATTCCCTAGACCAGACTACAACTTCCAATAAAACTCAATTGAATGTATATAAATCTCCCATTTTATATCCCCACTAGTAATTGAAAGTATATTTTCCAGCATTTCCACCTAACAAATAGAAGAGCAAACAATGGCAGAGCTGATGCCATGCCGTGGAACCACATAGCATCAATTATAAATGCACTCGATAAATTATTTTCCAGTATTAACTTGGCTTTCAGGCACTTCAACAGCTGCAGGTGAACGTTGCCCAGGTGAGCTGCACACACACACACACACACACACACATGCTTACAGATTTATACACATAAGTACCTTTCGGAGGTATGTGTATATGTATTTACAAAAATTATTTTAGTTTTACTGCAAGTTTCGCCACGGAAACTAACCCAAAGAGTTTGCTTCTCCACTTTTCTTTAGCTTAGCTTTTCATTTTGTTTTTCCTGAGAACGTGTGTGTGTGTGTATGTGTGTGCCTGGTTGGTGTTGGTGTTAAGCACTTCCGGTTGGCTGCTGTTCGACTGCTCACCTGACATGCGTTTCCCACCGAAAGCCAGAAGGCAGCCACAAGAGGAGACGTGTTCTGTGAGGACACCGAACAAAGGATACCTTGAACTAATTGTATCAGTAATTGTTATTTATTTAAATTTGTATATGATGAAAGATTTTTAAACAAACTTCATTTTAAATAAATAATAATAATAATTAGAGTTAAACAAATACATCAAATATCTTCCATTACGGTTTCAATATACCCTAAACCTTCATCCTGGAAGAGGACTCCTCAATGGCTTCCACAGGCACTTGCACCTCTTGGCTTCTGACAGCTTCCAGTCTCTCATCCATATCCTTCCCGCCATCCGGTGTCCTGGTTTGATTTTTCATTAAGTTTTCAGTGGAAGCTGCAGTGTAAGTCGTTCTTTGTTTGGTTTTTCTCTTTTTTCCCTCTCTCTGCTTATTGGGTATTGTTTGTAAAAATTATTTTCAATTAGCCGGCAACAGGAAAATTGATGGGCAACAGTTTTCTGGTATGAACTTCCATTTTCCTTATTGCCTTAATAATGCAAGGGGAAAGAGTTTCAGGATAAGGGAATCCTTGGTTAACCAATTCGTAAAACCACTCAGCACTTATGACAGCTTATATAGAAGGAGAAGAAATTGAAACTATAGATACAAATAATCAATATAATTCTATGACACTCATTTCCTGTTTAAACCTGAATATCAATAAGTGATTAGCTTAAAAATATTTAGCAAAAACACAAATTTAATACCTTTATTTAACAAAGTGTCAAATGAAATTTGTTTGTTTGACAGCTCATAATTTAATAGTGAGTGTCTCGCCATGATTTTGACAAATATTTTAAATATTTTCATCCATAAAGTTTGAATAATTAATTACACAATTATTCCAGTTTCATTTTACCATGAATAGAGACAGGTTAAATATGTCTGAATGTGCTATGATTTCCCAATGATAGGAAAAAAAACCCTGTAATTAAAAAATAAGCCCCAAGAGCTAAAGTCCTGTAAAGTGTTGAAGGCTTGTTGGTAGTTTTCTCAAGTCCTAAGCTGGCAGCCTCCCTCGAAAGTAGGCAACACTTGGGGCCAGGCTCGCCTCATTGTCCGAGCTGACAAGCCAAAGAGCTTGGGGCGATTTCTGGTGTGGCTACCAGTTGTTGATAGTTTCCACAAACAATCGCATAACAATGCTTGTGGGAGTGGTCCCTGACCTAAGCCTGGCCGAAAAGCTGATAGAAAAGAGGGCCAAACTTTTAGCCATTCAAATGCAAATCGTTGCGCAAATCTTCAAATGACTTCGATTGGTTTTGTGGCCTCGTCTTTTGTTCCTGCCGGCGATCCCCGCTCGAAGGCACAATAGACCTGCTGCTCCTAATCGGAGTCCGGGAATCCAGGATTCTAGGAGTCCAGAAGTCCGAATGAGAACATGTAAATGCATTAAAACAATGGCCGTCACAGAATTTTAACGAATTCCCCAGGCCCAATTGAGGCACAATTTAATTTTGCTACCCAATCTCTGTCGCTCTCTTTCTCCTGGAGAGACTTTATGAGACCAAGTCCCATTTGCATTTCTGTGAGAACTCGATTTCCGCTTGGTCAAGTGACATGATTGATACTCCCGGGCGCCGGACGTCTGAATGATTCCAGGGGATTGTCCCCAGTTGCCTCCTTCGGGGCGTAAAAACAACACCCGGGGCTTTGACATCCTCGGACAAGGAGCCGGAGCAGGAGCAGCAGCAGCAGGCGGTGGTGACAGAAGGACATGGTCTCTGACAGGACAATGCCACGAAGGGGTACGGGGCACCAAGCATGGCATTCACATCAAGTAGCCGACACGTTGCAGCTTACAAAGTTGTGCAAAAATGATTCTTGGTCTCAGGCAGATGGATGCGTAAGCAGCTTTCCCTGGTTTTAAAAAGAAAAACTATAAAAAAGTCCCAAAAAACACAATAAATTTTCAACAAATGTCATGATCTATGATATATCACCTTATAAACAGAGTATTATTAACTTATTATCAACTTAATTGCCAGCTCAAGTCTCACACTGTTTATTTTAATTATTTAATGCACAGAAACAATTTTAATAGACTTCCAATCAAATAAGGTTATTATTAAGCCTCTATAATTGGACCTACCTTGTTGATAATTACTCCAGGGTAAAGATCCGTCGCATAACAGGTTTGATTCCCAATTTAAAATGATTTCCGACACTTTTGTTTCAATCACAGCCCGTATATTCTATGTATACATTTTTCTATGGACTTCGTTTGGCATTTATTTTGGAAATAGAAACTTGCGGCTGTCTCTCCGAAGTGGTTTGTTTGTTCGACTCGGTCTCGGACTCAGACTGCAAACAATTAAGTTTGCATATCTATATAGAGAGTGACACTTTTATTTTCTTGTGGTCTTCCTGGGGGCGCAACCAACATGTGCCAGGCTTCTTTTTGGCAACTGCCACACAGGGAGAAGTGAGCTGAAGGGGGCGAAATGTCAAATGCAATGCAGTTTTAAATAAAATGTACTTGCAATAAATTTCCGCCAGCTCTCTCTCTGTGGAAATATATTATCTGCAGCCTGCTGGCAGCTCCTTCTGTCTTCTGTTTTTTTGGCAAGCCACACACTCTTGTCCGATTTAAATATTTAATCTGATTTCATGTTTCAATGCGTTCGTTGCCTGATAATTTACAGTAACTCTGTGGGCAAGAAAATCTCTAAAATATATGTATAATATTTACAAAAGCATCTCGAATCCATAGACTCTCAAGTGTTGCTCTGCATTTTAATTGGACTTGGAATTATAAGTTTAAACAATCACGTGGGAGTGAGAGGAACGCCTAAGAATGCCAAATTGTGGCGAAATGTATTTAAGTGAAAGTACTTGGGCCTTGATTGTGGCTTATGAAAAGCCTTGTAATTATGACTGAATTAAGACCAGTAGAAGCATACAATTAGAAAATGTAAATACTTTGAAAGCAGCTAAGATAGTTGGAAATAGTTTAAAAGGATTTAAACGCAATAGGAGGGAACTAGAATCAGCTATGCTAACTATACATTTATTTTCCAATTATTTCCCTTATTACCATGAACCGCATTACTAAATTTTAATTTAAAGTAATATAGTAATTTGTACAAAGGTTAACTACAAAGTATACTCAAAGTTAACAGCCTAACTTAATTATAACTTATTCACGATTATAGATTCCTTACCCTTACGATAGTTTCAAAACTGAACCTGACTTTGGCGCCAACTTTTGATACATTAATAAATCTTTGAAGGGTATCATTATTTCAATCAGAAGCTTGAAACTAAGTGAAGGAATTATTTCCGACCCTATAAAGTATATATATTCTTGATCAGCATGAGAAACTGAATGATCTAGATATGTCCGGTGAAAAACAAATTTTTGAAATTTTTTAGAATTTTATAAGGGGTTATATCGTTAAAATTCAATTCAAAGAATGAACAAAAATGTTAAATTTTTAATTTTTAAAACTTAGTACGCAGATTTGTTAAGCCTATAAAAACGAGGTAAGAACAGCTTTCCGAATTGATATAAATGGATTTTTGGCTTAGTTATGATACTTATTTTAATTTAATTAATTCGAAATAGGTTTTATTTAGGCAGTTTCTTATAAATTAATACTTGATTTAATTAATACCTTTCCGTCCTTAATAGTACATCCTTTACCAATTACAACTTAAAAATAATTCGTATGGCTTAAATTAAGTTGGATAGAGATTAATTCCCCTAATTTAGTTTAGTATTTGGCATTTTGTAATCATTTCTAGTATCTCTTTTAAAACTCCCCCTTTTCCACCTTCTGTATAACGTCCAAAACCCGATCGTTGATTATATTTACATTGTTGCCCCATATAAAGTTGACGTGATTGAAGAGAGGATCTTCTATCAAGTAATCAAGGATCACATTCGGCAGATTGTCCCGCAGTCGCACCACATCGATATCCGAGGTCAGTCGATCGTTTTTACTGTAGTACAGGGCCACCTTACAGTCCACCCTCGATACGTTGTACTGTGGCGGAGTGTCGGCTCCATGATGTCGCCGATTCTCCCAGGTATTATAGTAATTGTATTTGAAAAATCCACCGCTGTGGATCTGCTGGCCATAGTGCTCAACGGACTTGACGGACGATCCTGCCTGTGTGTGTCCCAGGAATAGAGGCACCAGACTGGTGTTGAACTGCTTATAATCCACTCCCATTACCTCCTGCACGAGGTAAGTGCAGGTGTTCTGAAAGACAAAGCTGCAGAGTCGGTGTAAGAGTTTGCGCCACACCTCACTCTCGGGGGAGCTTCATAAATCCCAAAAGTTCTCAGAAGAGTCTGAAAGGGAAATATAAATAGAGTTTAAATATTTCCAACCAGTTATTTACTCTACTCACCGCTATGGGTCGCATATACTTGACCAATGTGAGGATAATTGGTGAATCAATGTGATCCCAATAGGCCACAGGTGCCAGGGCCTGCATTGACTTGATCTTTCTCATGTAGCCAGGCCTCTCGCTGCCCATCACAAAAAAGGAGGTGGTGCCCTGGGAGTGGCCCACGTAGTGCAGCTGCTGAAATCCCTTGCTCCTGGCCAGGATATAGTCTATAGTAGCCGGTAGATCGTACATTCCTAACTCGTGAAAGGAGAAATCCCAGAACTGTGGCTGATACCGATGATATCGCTTGTGCTTCCTCGAATACCGATTTCCTCGGGTATTAATCAGCCATATATCATAGCCCAAATCGCTGAGTAGGAAGCCCAGGGAGCGACCAGGTCCCAGGATCACATAGGCCACGGAACTGTCAAACAATCCATGGACCATTAAAACCGGCTGACCACCTGGCTTGGGTATACGATGTACCGTGAGGACAAAGCCATCTTTGGCGATCACTTTATGGGTTTCCGCTGGATAGCCATACTTCATGATCAGTTCCGGCTTCGAGGATAATATTTAATTGAAATTTGTATAATAGAATAAGGTAACTATTTCCTACCGTAATCAGTAGGCCATCTTCCAAAGCGACTTTATTAACTTGAATCAAGTTGCTGGAAACAGAGTTGAGAGCCAGGAAAAGCCAGATTCCAATGGCAAGCTCGCATGTTGTTCTATTTAAAATTGAGTTCCTAAACATTTTGCCTTCTCTACTTACTAAGTTACAGCTTTAGTCACTGCAATTTGCAGCATGCACTTCAAAGTATTAGGAATTGATTTATAACGAAACGTAAATCACAAATTGGACAATCAAATGACTCAGGCAAGATAGATTCATGCCAAAAGTGTTTGAGAAAAAGTTTTTAAGCTGCACATAATGGTTGTGGGAACACGACTTTTTACAGATTTAAGTTATATAGAGCACTTATTTTTTTTTTAATTTGTAATAAATTTATAATCTATAACATTATTTTAAAGTGTGATACATCTATTTTCTTTTTATTATTGTTATCTTTTAAAAATAATTAATTGCTTTACAATGACATTATATCCTTTGATGTCATTTAAAATTGATTGAAATATATTTGATTTTATTAAATTTTTTTTCTATTTATTATCCTTGGTCTTTCATTCTGAAAACTTATCACATTTTTATTAATGGCTTAGGTAATGATTATATCCTTAAGTCATTATTATAAGACTCTATGGTTTAAGAGACTTATCCGGAAGTTACCCTTATCTTTATTATTTATGAAAGATCATAAAATTTCACTGCCTTAGAACTACTCCGGTTGCGCGATCGCTTGCCACTGAGCTATAAAATTAAGCCGTGTGCCGTTTTTGATTCGAGCAGCTAATTTTAGTTAGTTAGAGGCTAGTTACCCGCTCCCCTCCTTGACCCGATTGCTGAGCACAACTCACGTGAATCAGGCCAATCAATATGCATAGAAATGGAATCTCGGCTCTCTCATTGTTGAAATATATTAAACAAGTTCTCAAAGCAATATAACTAAATAAATGTGGAAATAAAACAAGTTGCCGGTTAACTAAGGTCGCGTAATTTGATATGAAAGCTGGAAAATTCATTGATAACCTGATAAATCACAACGAATTGTACTCAGTTGAGTTCGAAGTTTATTGTGTTTTGTGTTTAATGTAAAACGAGTTGCAATGAGAGAGTAATTATACAATTGACACACTAACTAGCTAATGAAGCATTATAAATATATGGATTTTATATATTAATGTTTATTTTAAAGCTAATAAAACCCTGTTTATAACCGGTCTATTCTTAGTGGAATTGTTTAGAATAAACGAATGACAAGTGGTTTCATTAATACAAGTGATGTAATGGCTATCATATTATTTGGAATTAATAAATTGAAACCGGAAATTTGTTTGTGTGTTTTTTTTTTGTAAGTCATTCAAAAGTTCAATATTTGATTAATAATATGGTAATATTTTTAATCCTAAATAATTATTTGCACATCATATAGTATCCTATAGATTATATTATTTAGTCCCAAAACAGCTTATAACCCAGCTTAACCCATCTTTATTAAATATATTGTGTGTTAGAACTACAGTCGCAAATCATTGATATATAATATGGAATATAAACATCCCAAAAGTATGCACTAAAGAGAGACTTATTTTATTTGTGACTAAGTAACTCTATTGGATAAATCTAGGTTACAATTTTAATCTGTAAAGTCCAATTACACAGTTCGGACGATAATTAGGCCAAATTATAATGTAATTAATATAATCTAAATTCAGTTTTTGCTAATGTGACCAATCACGAAAGCATAACTAAAGACAACAAATAAGCAGTATTTAATTCTAATTTATAATTAATAATTATTATATTTTATTATATTATATAATTTTAAGTTTGAAGTAATAAATACTTAATAATAGCTATAGCCTTCGCCCCATTAATATATACTGTTAAACGTTAGGATAAGCCCCTATCCCAACCATCATTAGATGACGGAATTCTCGTTAACCCTCATATTCTCCAGCATTCGGTCCCACAGCAAGGTCCTGGCATCAATGCCCCAGATGAAGTCCAGGTGATTGAAGTCCTTGTCATCCACCAGATACTTGGTCACCACCTTGGGCAAACGGCTGTTCAGCATATCCACATCCTCGGGCGGAGAAAGCCAATCATTCTGGCCATAATAGAGGGCCACCTTGGCCTTGACATTTTCTAGACGATATGTCGGAGGCTCGATGGTGCCATAAGTCCAGTGATTCCTCAGCCAGCCGTAGTCGTACTGCCGGAAAACTCCGGCTCTGTTGAGCTGTCCGTAGTGCTGCATCTGCTTGGTGGAGGCACCGGCGGGAGCGTGACCTACGATCACAGGGAGCATCGTCTCGTTCAACTGCTGCTTATCGAATCCGGTGGTCAGGAAGATCATGTTGGAGCAGATCTCCTTGGTAATGGTGGTCTCGTCACAAATTAACTGATTAAACATGCTGATGAACTCATTCTTGGGCAGAAACTCGTGGACGCCAATCATCTTGAGGATCAACTGGATGAGGGAATCGTAATAATTAGTATAAAAGGGTCAGGAAAGGATGTTGGAAGGAAAGGGGTTTTAGAATTGGAATTCTTTTTGGTTTCGTTAACTTTAAAGGCTCTAAAGACTCTTTAAAGAAGAGTCCACACTGCATATGAGTGATATTTGCAACCCAAATTCGTTTTGAATTCAAAACAAGTGTCATTTTCCAATTCAAAAGTCCCCTAAACAGGATAGGATTAGAGGATGGGGTAACTTACGCCCACCGATAGATGCCATTGGGCCAGGAAATTAACCACAGGACTGCGGCAGTGCTTGAGGAAGGCCACCGGGGCCAAGGCCTGCATCAGGATGATCTTTTCCATATATTCCGGCCGCTCGCTGGCCATGATCCAGAACACCATAGTGCCCTGCGAGTGTCCCACATAGTGCAGCTGCCTAGCACCCGTCAAGTTCAGTATATAGTCGATGGTGCTGGGGATATCATGCTTGCCCATCTCATGGAAGGTGAAATCCCAGAACTTGGCATGATGTGTGCTGTACTTCACGTGCTTCCGCGAATATGTATTACCGCGCACATTGGCCATCCAGACATCGTAGCCCTGTTCAAAGAGCAGGTAAGCTTTGGAACAGAAAAACAAAACACAATCAGTATGGAGGAGCACGGGGAGATAGCCTTTGAACCACCTACCTAGTCCCTTGTTGGGGCCCATCATCACCCAGGTGGCTGAACTGTCCAGCAGGCCATGGACCAGGAGCACGGGTGTGGCTCCTGGACGAGCTATCCGGTGCAGGGTCAGTATGTAGCCATCATCAGTCTGCACGGTGTGACTTTCCGCCGGATAACCATATTTGTGTATGAGACCATCCTGTAAGAAAATACAAAATGTTATAAGCTTGCATAAAACCCTGAACCCGGTTGGTCATACAAACCGCTAATCGCTTTAAGTGCTTATATCAACAGTTAGTATTCATAAACGAAACACGTGAAAGGTATACCAAAATGTCAAGTATAACGAAATAAAATCTTAATACAATAACTCACACTAGGCAAATTTTTAATGAATACTTTACACTAATTAAAGCATCAAGCGTTTTCGCTAGAATTCTAAAAAGTCGGTTAAGCTTCTATATGTTTCTGAGTTTTATATATATGACATTAACCCACATTTTTAGCTACTATTTACTTACCGTGCTCAAGTGAGAATCCTCCTTTATATTGGGATCTAGATCGAATCGGAAAGTTCTCTCCAGGGACTTATTCGCAATCGTGGGCGGCTTGAAGTCGACATTAAACAGAGTGACATTGCCCAGGGCGAAGGCCAGCCCCGAGACGGATGTCTGCAGCAGGCACAGACATAGGCCACAGATTAGCAATTTTATTGACATTTCCCTAACTTTAGCTCCGGTTTATATATAGTAGAGTCTTAATTATATAGAGAGATGTGATCGGTGCGAGGCACAGTTGTTGACTGATGTCAGCCCCGATGGGAGGGCAACAAAGAAACCTTCTCTTGATGCGAGAAATTCGACACTTTCCGCTCGCCAGTAATCAGTAGTCACTGGAACGTATAATACTTTCAATCGAATTGAATCACCGCCACAGGGGCAGCGGCAGGAGGCACAAATATTGGTCAAATGTGGCGATAACCCGCCTGCCTTCGTCACTGGCTAATCACTGATAAGAGCCCAGGAGCCCCAGGGTCCGGCTTGGAGCGGTCTTGACTTTGGAACCACTTACGCACGAGATGTGGCCGCCCCCCGAACAACAACTGAAGAAGATGTTTTGTCGTTATTCCCATCCAAGGGGGTCCGCTCTACCTTGGCAACATTCGTTCGTTCGTCCGGTTCAAAACAAACAAACTCAACATGTTGCCAGGCCAATTGAGCGGCCTGAGACCCAGACAGAGCTCAGTTGAGTTCAGCAAACCAACTCTCAGCTCAGCTCTGCTCAGCCGGAAAGGGGAAAATATTAATTTTTATTAATTACAGGCACACGCGGTGTAAAGTTGTTAGTAAATGCCAGTTCATATTGCCAGCTGCCAACTGACGATAAGTTATGGAAATACTAAAATAGGAATAGCAAAACACACACAGGCCTTGTGTTAATATTTCTAAGCTCAGTTTCAGATTAGATTTCGGATTATTATTATTAGTAATATTATTATTAGGTTAAGCACACACTCTTTTAGAAACAAAGTCCAGCCACTGAGGCTATAAATAATGAGTGAACAACAACAATTAGGAATTAAATTATCATCGTAATGTGAGAGAGAAGCTTAGAAGACCTTACTTTGCTTACTTTTAATGTTATTTACTGAATATATTGCCTTGATCTATATTTATAGTCGTCATTAAACATCAATTGTAAGCTTTAGAGTCTACATGAGTTAGTTAAGTCAGATGTAGTTTAAAGTATTTTAAAAAACGCACATTTAAAAGCAAAAATAAATTGTAAAACTTTATTAAGGTAACCTTTTTAATAAACATCCCAATTTATGTGCTATTTGTTAGTTTGTTTTTATATTAAAGCAACTATTGACTTCATTAAGATTACTTGAACTTATAATACATATATTTTTGTATCATTTTAAACATTAATCATATTACCTTATCATGGGGAACACCCTAAACATAAATATTTAAATTATTCCGTAGCAACATACACGCTCATATATATTATCAGTTTTAAGACATACATATAAAAACCTCATAAAGCTTTGAATATATATTTTTTTTATTTATTTAAATTTACATAAAAAAAGGTCAATGAATTTTTAAAGCACATTAACCTTGTAAACATATTTTAGTTTAATTTCCATAAATTAATACGTCTCTTTTTATGATTTCCAACAGTTACACCTTTTCAGCTAACCATTACACATATTTACATTACAAAACTAATCATTTTAGTTTTTCTTTCCTATTTTTATTATCTATCATTAAGCCCAGCCCCTCCCTCTCTAGTAACCACAATTTTGGAATCTAACTTGCCATTGTTTTTTAGTAAACAAATTACTCATTTACGCGATTACTTATTAATTATTTTCCGATCAAAGTGCAAGTCCGACGACCGAGTAATAGTCATTAATAAGCATTTATACAATTTATCGCCCGTCGATAGAGAAGTTGCTTATATACATACATTGAAATTAATTTTAGAAATTTACGTATTTACGGATAGTAAACACACAAATGCCAAAATAGAGATGACTCAGTGGGAAATGGGAAATGGGAAATGGGAAAAGAGGGAAAGGGAGTGTGCAGCTTATCTCAGTGACCAGTTGTGGGAGTTCAGTTGAGTCCGAGTGTTATTCAATTATTAAGTGTAGCTTATTCTGCATTTAACGAGCAAACAAACACGCACTCGGCAGTCCGGCAGTCACACAGATACAGATAAAGGCATACAGAGGCAAATGCACTGAACAAAATTCTTTACATTTATTGCATTTTTTATTGTGACTAATCAAAGTATAAAAAAGGGATTACTAAGACAAAAATGAATTAAATTCGATTCGGAAAGCTGTTCTGTGTTAGTTTTTGAAGGTTAATAAATCTGCAAACTCAATATAATAATTTAAGAAATTACAATTTTTATCAATTTTTCAGAATTTTAATGACTGAAATTTGCAAAAAAATGTCAAAATTTTTTTTTCTTTTCGATATGTCTAGATAGATTCTCCTGTTCGTGCTGATCAATAATATATATGATTTATAGGGTCGGAAATGACTCCTTCACTCACAAAAATTATAAAACGATCTGCAAAAAGCATTTTATTATATATATATATTTTTATATTAATCTACTTTTTTAACTTTTTTCCAGTGTACTTTAGCAACGAAATACGCAGCTACTTGCTATGCAAATCAGCGCAAACAATGTGCAGTTCATTAAATGAGCTGTTGAGCATAAATACATATACATATATACATATATATGTATATATATTTATAAATTTATGCATGTTGTTATCGCCACAGTGTGTGACCCCTTCCTATATTCATTTGCAATGTCAGCTTCCCCCCCCCCCCCAGCTCTCTTTGCCCACAAACTGCATATTATCATATGAAAAAGCTTTTCCAGCTGAAAACTCGTTTCGCTCGCGGCAACATTTAAGATCTGGCAACATGTTGCCAAAGTCTGATTTATTTACTGTGCGGTTTAGATTTTTTGGAATGCAAATAAAACAAAAATTCCCCAGCTAAACCCATTGATTCGATGAAATTTTTTAGTCCTACTAATTTCCCTCTTGGGCATTGCGAACATAGAGACCACAAGCCAGCCACAAACGATTGCCTGGCACAAAGTACGGCCAAAAAGTTATATTCGAACTTTTTAATAGTTCGCAAAGGGGGAGGCTGTGAAAGAGTTAGGGGGAAAATGTGGTGGCAGTTGGTCAATTGCCATCGAATGACAAATATTTGCTAGAAATTGGCTAAAGTTCCCAAAAATGACAAGAGTAAAAAAAGGAAGCAAATAGAGCATAGATAATAAAAGTCATTCGAGAAGTATGTAAGCATTTTTCTAATTTTATTTATGAGTTAAATTTCATTCCATTAAAGATAAATAATTATGGAAGTATATAAAGCTCATCTTAATTTGTTACATTATTTTAAACACTCCTTACTTTAAGTAACACACATATTTACAAAAGGAAAATTCCAGAAATTATATTTAAAGATATGCATTTATAGAAAATTCCATAAATAACAAGCACTTGAAACCATTGTAGACCTTACTCTTTCCTTTAAAGTATCTTTGAAGTGTTCCCTGAATCTCCCTAAGGCTTTCTTTGCTTTTAGCAACAAGTTAAATGCTGAATACTTTAACAACTTCAAAAGGAAGCCAAAAATACCAGAAAATCTGCCACTTGAACACCATACACACAGAATCCTTGAAGAGCGACCTACTAAACACTCCCACGAAATAAAACAAAAACGAAGAAAGGGAGCAAAATCAATGTGCAAATCTCATAAGATGCGGGCGTACCAGGACCTTTGGGGGAGGATAATTCCCACACCCGTAGACAAATTTTGCAAATACCCAAGTATTCCGTAAGTGCTCAGTGTGTCAATGTGGCAAATGTATCTGTATCTTTTCGGTACGAGTATCTCTGCTTGAACGAATATCTGCAACTCAGTGCGCCGCCTAACCCTCCGAACACACGTACTCGGATCAATTTCCAGAACGAGATTTATGCGCTCGCCAAAAAAGGGGCCATAAAATATTTATTGTTTTCAAGTTCCCTGGCCATGATAAGCAGAACAAAGGGAGCGAGCAACAGGAACAAGCCTTATCCTTATCCTTATCCTTGGCCTGTAATGCGATACGAACAGAACAGAAAAAGGGGGAGCTGAAGGAGCGTAATATATTACCTTTAAATAGGAATTTATTTTCATGCTAAGCTCGAAATTTAAATGAGAATGAAAGTCTAGATGAGAGTTGGGAAATCAATTCCAATCACAATCAAGTAACTGAAAGAGTTTTGTAATCAACAAATATATGGGATATAGGTTAAAGTGCATATATTTTGAGATTCTTTTTTCTAATTTTAAAGATCAAATTCGTTGCTTTCCCACATGTCCCATTCAAATCCATTTAATTCAACGCATCTGAACTTAACCCTTCAATGCCCGCAACATCTGCACCGATTTATACAAATAATTAACTGTCAACTGCAGGCAGTCAGTCGTCGGTATTTCCTTTCCGCCCTCCTTCCGGCTAAGCGACACCTTCGGGGATCTCAGCATCCTTATACACTGGAAACTTATAGGCTGCCAGTTTCGGTTAAATGTGAAAAATGAAAAATATAAATAAGTGTTGATGATTGTTTGGCAGACGACGGAGGCCGGGTGATTTATAAAAATGTGCGAGAAAAATGATTTTTGCACGCCTCGTAGCCGTTGACAGGCTCAAAAAACATCAACCATCAGCTCAGCCCCTTTTTGCGTGGCCCATCATCATCCAAGGGTGCTCCTCTCAGCTGCTCCTGCTGTTCCTGCTGCTCCTGCTGCTCCTGCTGCTCCTCTCCCGGCTGCTGCCAAAGTCATTAACTCGACAAACCGCGTCAACGTCAGTCCATCAGCTAGAGATGGACATTTTTGGCAAATGCGGGTCCTTGGAAAGGATATGCGGGCCTATATTAGGAGCTAAGGAATCTAAAATATTTAGGAATATTATCTAACCAAAGTCTAGTTATTTTTAGATAGCTAGATAGATATATAGAATAATTATCTTGAAATTCTTTGACGAGTTTTTGATATCATTAATATCAATTCATCAATTTCAGTTACATTCTTTTCACTTTCGATATTTTGTACAGATTATACTTAAAATTAATCGCTCCATATATCGATTATGCCCCATCTCCAGCGGAGGCGACTTACGTGTAAGTGGAGCGGAAGTGCACCCATACAAACACACACACACACACGGCAACTCGAAAAATGTTAAGGCATTCGTTATGTCAACAGGCAACAATAAGCGAGTAAGCAAAAGGGATTCCCGGGGAGGGAGGGAGCAGAACGGGAGCTGCGACTCTTGTTAGGCACATTACATCACTCATTTTGAAGCAGCCAGCGGAGCTTGTCCTTGTGTTTGTAATTGTAAGTAAGGGAGTTTCCTCTAACGACCAACTTGCCGCTCAGCCTCGACTTCTTCTCTTTTTTTAATGAAGTGCAGCTCCTGCCCCACCGTCGCCGCTTGCAACTGCAGCCAAGCGACAAATGCCGCGCATTCCCATTTTGCGGCGGGAGAAGTTG